ATGTGTTATACTCATAGATTTTGCCATTAAATGATCCAGTCACACTCTTCCCCAAGCCTGGAGCCAAACAGTTTCATCTCAGCTGTGTTCACATATGGCAGATTACTGGAGGGGCATGTGTACCCGGGTGCAATCGTAGCATTCAAGGCAAAGACTGTTAAAGGATATCACAGGGTTCTGCAGAGTACCTCTCGACAGCCTTCAGGCAGAGGCTCTAAGCTGAATGGATCAGTTATGTGCAGAGACACAGAACTGAATAAATGTATCTCAGTCAAGATGAGCTGTCCAATCCCTGCCCCAAAGTTGTTCCAGATCGTTTTTAAAAATCAACTAACATGGTTTCTCAGCCTTTTGCTAAAATCAAGTATAAAAGTTAAGTTAAATGTTAACAGACAAATGTTGGAGCTTAATAAAGTTGACAGGTGTTAGGTTAAATTAGGGCTCATGAATCTGCCTATCATCTGCAAAATGTATAAATAGCATCACCAAGTTGCTTGGTGGGTGTTTTAGCTATAACTCACATGGTTTTGCAAAGGAAGGTAAATAGAGTTTCTTGTTTCTCTCCAAGCATCTGGGTTCATGCACAGCAGCAGAGAGCTTTACTTATATTGAGTGAAACTTTATAGTGGAGGAGAGATTACATGTGGCAGTTCATGGTTTTTATGTTCTTGCTTAACTAGAAATGTGCTTTTACCAGAAAACTTTGTATGTAACACAAAGAAATGTAGTGATAATTCATGAAGCATTATTAAGGTACTCAAAGTAAAACATTTACAAGGCTCGTAGGACCTCATTCAAAGTAACAATATCAAAATTGCCTTGAAAGACACATAGAGAACAGTGAGCTTCTGTGTTACAGTGTGAAAGCCCAAGTAGCTATTATGCAGGCATCTAGTACAGTAGAGAGGTACAGGTTCACATGTGTTAGTCCGTAAGGCCATGATTATGCCAGTGTTTCTCTTCCTAATCATTTCCCTACCAAAGCAAGCCCATGAAGGATCCAGTGCTGAGAAGTGAAATCTGAAGCCATGGGAAGACTGAAGGAAACTTGAGCCCTGACTAAGCAGAAGAAGCCAAGCTGAAAGACAATCACATGTTACTATATGGAGAGTCACTTGTGTTCAAACTAACAGTGTTGGTAAACATTGAACTAAGTGTTTAACTCTTCTGAATGGCTCTTTTTGTGTATTTGTTTATGTTTGTTGTTCTTGTTTTTTTGTGGGGGGAGGCTGGGAATGGTCTCTCATGTAGCCCAGGTTGGCTGTAAGTTTCCTATGTAGCAAAGAATGACATTGAAACTGTTCCTCCTGCAGTGCCACTGTGTCTGACTTGCAGCATAGGTGTTACTGCGTCTGTTACTCACTGCAACATTGGGGGTGAAAGCTTTAGTAGCCTTTGCCTCCAGATACTTTTTTTAAAGCCAGTCTCCCAGATAGGCCTGTCTTTTCTTTGTTTTGTTTTGTTTCAAGACAAGAGTTTTGGAGGTTGTCCTGGAACTCGCTCTGTAAACCAGGCTGGCTTTGAACTCACAGAACTCACAGAGATCCGCCTGCCTCTGCCTCCCAAGTGCTGAGATTAAAGGCGTGCGCCACCAACACCCGGCTTTTTTTTTTAATTAATTAATTTATTTATTATGTATAAAATCTTCTGCCTGCATGCCAGCAGAGGGCATCAGAGCTCATTCAAGTTGGTTGTGAGCCACCATGTGGTTGCCGGGAATTGAACTCAGGACCTTTGGAAGAATAGTCAGTAATCTTAACCGCTGAGCCATCTCTCCAGCTCGAGGTAGGGCTGTCTTAATGATGTTTTAAATGACAGTGGGAGGGGGGAGCACATGCACACCTTACTTTGTCCAGCGGTCTCTACTGTCTCATTTACTGCTCACATGATCTTAGAAAGTTGATGCTATCTCTCCATGCTGCAGAGAAATGGAGACAAAGTTAGAATCAGAGTTTAATGACTTGGCAGAACTACAGGAAATAAGGTTGGAAGCAGGCTGCCTGGCTTCCAGAGCATCCATTCTCTGGCTCTTTGGCAACAGATAGTTTTCCTCCCTCCGTTCCTTCTTCCCTTCTTTCCTTCTTTCCTCTCTTCCTTCCTTCCTTCTCTCTTTCTTTCTTTCTTTTTTGGTTTTTTGAGACAGGGTTTCTCAGTGTAATAGTCCTGGCTGTCCTGGAGCTCAGAGATATGCCTGCCTCTTTCTTTCTTTCTTTCTTTCTTTCTTTCTTTCTTTCTTCCTTCCTTCCTTCCTTCCTTCCTTCCTTCCTTCCTTTCTTTCTTTCTTTCTTTCTTTCTTTCTTTTTTTGAAAGAGGATCTCTCTATGGAGTCCTGTCTTTTCTAGAGCTCACTGTGTAGACCAGGCTGTTCTGGAACTCAGAGAGATCTCCCTGCCTCTGCCTCCTCCACTGCTGGTATTAAAGGTGTGTCCGCCATGCCTGGAAGATAGTTTTCTAATATGAATTCATTGTCCTGTTAAGGACATGAAACCAATAAGGGTATGTTTTAAGTATAACTCCATATACTTATGTCTACTTTATATGTCCCTAAGATAAAGTGTGTCCTTATTCAGTAGCATGATTATGTAAGTCATAGTGGAACTCTATTGTAAACTTTTGGCAGAACTAAAAGCAAAAACTCACTATGTGGAAATGCTGTGGAAGTCTTCCTGCAAATGCTTATTTCCCTGTCTGAAAACCTTCCATGTTTTGTGTAGGGGACTGGAGGACACTTTTCTTAGGGCTGGGGAGAGAGAGCCTGTCTTTCAGGTTTTTAAAACAATTGTTCACAACGATGACCTCTATATTCCCCATCTTTTTTTTTTTTCTTCTGTGCAAGGGATGGAGTCCTAGGCCTTATTACACCATTGAGCAACACTAACTGCCTGATAATTCTTTTTTAAACAAATGTTACTATTTATTTTTCCCGTGTATTATGCATTCAGTCATCTATGTCAGTTGTCTCCCTCAATTTCTGTCCACCTTATTGTTTTATATTATAGATGGGTAGAGAGGGAGAGAGATTTGGGGCAGAATGTCTGCACAGGCTAGTTTTATGCTAACTTGATACAAGCTGGATGCATCAGAGAGGAGGGAATCCCAATTGAGAAAATGCCTCCCTAAGACTGGGCTATAGGCGAGACTGGGACATTTTCTAAATCAGTGTTTGATTTGGGAGGGCTCAGCCCATGGTGGGATGCCATCCCTGGGCTGGTGGTCCCAGGTTCTATAAGAAAGCAAGCTGAGCAAAGCCGGGAAGGAGCACTCCTCTATGGCCTCTGCATCAGCTCCCACTTCCCGATTCCTGTCCTATTTAGTACCTGTCCTGACTACCTTCTATGATGAACATGAACAGAGATATGGAAGCATAAGTCAAATAAACCCTTCCTCCCCAACTTGCTTTTGTTCATGCCGTTTATTAATACCAGTGGTATGGTAGGACAGCTAGGTAGACTGTCCTAGTTAGGACAGTCTCTTGTTGAACCCAGGGCTTACTGGTTGGCTAGATTGGTAGGCCAGCAAGCCTCATGGATTTCCCTATATCTAACTCTCCAGTGCTATTGTTGTTTGAAACAGAGTCTCTTGTAATCCAGTCTGGCCTCAAACTGCATGAGTAGCTCAAGACAGCATGGAACCTCAGACCTTCAGCTTCTGCTTGCCAGCCGCTGGGATTACAAACGTGCATGCCCGAGCCTGGCGCTTTGTGCATTACTTACTCATCAGAATCTGTAAGGACCTTGTCTGTTTTAGTTGATCAGATCTAGGAGAGATCTGAGAACTTATTTATCTCCACTTATAGTGACTAACCTTCTAATCTAAGGTCACTCTGAAAAATAGCTGGGCCCTGGCTATTTGGCCTTGTCCAAAGCTCTTTGCCTTATGAACTCTGTCTCGGTAGGGAACATTGTCTCAAGAGGTAAAATAGAGGTGTAGCTGATACATCACTGAAGTTGGTGATTGTGTGTGTGTGTGTGTGGGGGGTAGAACATAAAGGCGTAGACGTGGGTGGGAACTCTTCCAGCTTTTAAAGTGTGCACAGCTCAGAGAGATCCGGCACTGGTTTATCTGGAGGACAGAGGAAGGTGGGGCTTGGGACACACTGTTGAGGGATAGAGCCTTCCTGAGACAGACCAGCTGAGCGACTGCACTCACAGGGATGGGTGTTTTACTTGATTGGAACATGAAAATTGGCATCAATACTGAGAGTTTGGCGAAGGCTGAGGTTATACTTTATAACAGTTAAAATGACAAGCATGGGTACATCTCAGGCTGTGGATGGATTGAGCGGTTAGTGGTGATGGCTCAGAAGTTTGCAGAACGTTTTTCTCTCCTGGGAAAACACCTCACAGTGTCAGTGTTGCCACCTGAATCCCTGCCTGTCTCCTGGGACCTTCAGGTAGCTCTGATGTGGTAAAGAGGAGCTCAGTTTGTCTAGCTCTCCCACGGAACAACACATTTACTTCCCTGTTGAGGTCTTTCTTATTTGAGGCAAGAACTCTATACTATGAATGTCAAGGTATAGTCTACTTTTCAGTTGGGAGAATCAAGTTTTTGACCAGGCAGTAAGGTACCAGCCACCTTTGTTTTTCCTCAGACAATGTCTTACTAGGCTGAACCTTACCAAGGGGTAGGCTGACCTCAGGAGTCCACCCGTCTCTCTCTTTCTCTCTTTCTCTCTAGCACTAAATTACCAGGGTGTACTACCATGCCCAACTTTTTTTATATGACTTGTGGGCATTGACTTGGGCTTTCACTCTTGTAAAGCAAACACTTGATTGACTGAGCTTCCTGTCTCCTCCTCAGCCCCTTCTCTGCCGATACTCAGCTACAGGTCTGCAGAAATGGTTGCTCCCGTGCTCCTGGCAACAGCGAAGCATGAGCACATTTTTTTCCGTGTGGTTAACTTTCCTCGACAGTTTCATCGTCAGTGGGAGTGGTAGCTTAGAAGCATTCCTCCATGACAGGGTCTAGCCTGATGCAGGCGTTTCCCTCGTGTTCTGTAGGAGATGCCACACCTTCAATGCCGACAGTGAACGCAGAGCTGCAGGCGGCTGGTGAGGAGGCGGCTGGAGTGAATGCCAATGATCCCCCGAAAGCTCCAGTGGCAGCGCTGCAGCCGCTCTTCTCCCTGATCCGGGGTGAGGTGGAGCAGATGGACTCGAGAGCACTTCCCCTCTTCCTCCACCAGGTAAGACCACACCCTTTGCTCTCAGCCTCACTAATGCTGCTGCCGGTGTCTGGAGTCATCTAAGTCCGTTCCCCGTGATTGATGCCTCCCTGCCGCTGTGGACCCTAAATGCATGACTGGTAGGAAATCTGGCCTATTCTGGGCCAGAGGACACGCTGTGGCCTGGATGATTTGTCATTTGGACAGTAGCCAACGCCTGTATTCGGTGATTCAGCTAAGTATAAAGAGGAATCGATATGGCAAGAGTTTAGTAAGCTCCAGCTGGATGCCACGAGGCCCGCTAGACACTGATGAACACTTCCTAAGGCACGTTCTGAAGAGAGCCATGGTGAAATGGGAAAGAAGGATCTAGATACAAGTGTGGGGTTTTGTGCTGTCAGAGTGGACAAGTCTAGCAGTTAACTTTGCCCGTTGGCAACGGAGAAAAGGAGGCAACTCTTGAGATGGGTGGTTAAGGTGAGCAGGTGCTGGACCAGTTAAAAGCACTGGCTGCTCTCCCGAGGATTTCATTCGATTTCCAGCATCCACAGGGCAGTTCACAACTGTCTGAAACTCCACTTCCAGGGAATCCCAACACCCTCTTCCAACCTCTACAGGCATCAGACACACAGGTATAAGACATACATCGTGCAGGCAATACACCCATACATGTAAGATTTAAAAATTGTTAGATGGAAAGAAAAGTGAGCTGTCACAGCAGATGAACTAGACTGTGAAGACGTGGTTGGGATATCACAGTTGAAGAAGCAGAGAGGTGAGGGCTAGAGGACTTTATCAGTGAGAGTGCCTTTGTATAGGGCTGCTGCTGCTGCTGCTGTTTTGTGCTGGGGTGGGGGAGGTGTTGCTATTATTGTTGTTTTGTGCTGGGATAGGGGTGTTGCTGTTGTTTTTTGTGCTGGGGTGGGGGTGATGCTGGAAAAACTGTAAGCCTTCTGTATGTTTAGCAAGCACTCACTACTTAGTGACTCTGCAAATACCCAGGATGCAATTTTGCTTTTAGAAGAAGAAATCTTCTGAAGACTGGGAGGTGGGTGTGTTGAAAGGTGGAGAACTTGGAGAGAGGAGGCCTTCAGGACAGCAGTGGGAAACCTAATGGATGAGATCACTTGGGAAAATTTTAAATATTTGTGATTTGCATTTTATTTGCAGCTAAAATGAATTGGTACTTGGTGTTGTAATTTAAGAAAAGCAGCTCTCAGAGGGGTTTTTTTAAATTAGGGACAAGGATCATAAAAATGGAAAAGGGGGGAGACCGGCCTCCAAAGCAGCAGGAGAGAGGGAGGGAGGGAGGTAGGAGGAGGAGGAGGAGGGAGGGAGAGAGGGGAGAGAGAGAGAGAGAGAAACAGATAAAGAAGAGAGAGAGGTAGACAGGGCCCTTTTAAAAGGGACCATGGTGAATATGCACAGGTGATGCTCTTAGTGGCTGCAGCTGAGGGTGTATCCTGTCAGAACCCCAAGGACAGGCCAGTACAGATGCCTGAATACTAACACTTGGGACTAGAGAAAGGTGTGAGTTAATTTGAAGTTGTTATGGATGCAGAATTTTGAGAAAACTGCAACAGAGGCATTCTGAGAGGCGGAATCACTTGGGCTACTTGTCTTTATTCATGTCTAATACTTTTGTTCTGAAAACATACATACTTTTAAAGGTAACATGCATATCTGTATTAACAAAACTATGGGATGTACAGTGTTCATAAGTCAGCTAATTGTTTTATGTTTGAGCAGATAAAAGACACCTGTCAACTTTGTAAGGTCATTTAGACTGTATAACCAGTGTTATGAGGACTCTGTAACTAACAAGATTTATCATGTCTCATCCAGTCTCAGAGCTGTTCCCATGCAGAGGGATCAGCATACATGTCACCTGTCCTGTAGTCTTTCCTGCCTTCCTCTATCACTTCTGTAGCCAAGATCCTCAGGAAGTCTCACCCAGTCAAATCTGATCTTTACTAATTTTGAAGGAATTGGTAGATTTTTGTTTCCTGTGAAAACAAAAGCACAACTCTTCCACAAAGCAATACACTTTTTGAGTTCCATTTTAAAGGTATTCTTAAAGTTTCCAGCAGTCCCTTTCACAATCCCATGTCTCCCATCAGTGTCATTTGCTTATCAGCAATAAAAAACTCAAAGACAACACAATAACATACAAGATCCAGGCTCCCTGTGTACTTCCCACCTCTATGTGGCTTATTCTGTTTTTCATTAATACTTTAACCTGTTTTGAGGGGTTTTTTCCCCATTTGAACCTGTTTTACTGTGCATCTGTAACTTTTTTCATCTGCATGAGCAAAATTTTAAACTGCCACACCGCTTAGACTTCCAATCAGTAGGTATTTCAAAATGGTTGAATATTAGCATTTACTGTAGTTCGTATTAATATATCCATAACATAGTAGAATGATTTGATAAATGACAGACTCTTAAAAAAAACTAACCACTTTAAAATTTTTCAAAGTAAAATAAATATAGAATGCAAGTTTAGACTGAAAATTTACAGGCATTTAATCATCTTCATTACCTGTATAAAATGGGTTTTTTTGTTTTGTTTTTAACTTTAATATATAAAGTGCTCAAATTTGTATCTATACATTCTATTTCTTATGGGCGATCTGGCCAAACTTGATCCTTTTTAATTGCTTTTATGAGTTTAACAACTGCTTTATTGTTCTTTGTACTAGCTTGTCCCTAGAAAATAGAGATAGTGATTTACAAATGGATTTTTTTAATAGAAGCCTAAAGAAGTCAGTAGAAACTGTTCTGAATTTGTAAAGTGGTCTAGCTCAATGACTCAGACCACAAAGGTGCTTGACAGCAAGACTGAGCCAGAACTCTGATGGTGGAAGAGGAAGTCAGCTCCAGTAGACTGTCCTCTGACCGCCACACATAGCAGACATACACCCACACACATACACACACAAATTAATTAATGTAACAGCAGTGTAGTATGATAAGTATCACAAGTTATGCTAAACTTTGTCAATATTTTAGTTTACTGGTCTGGTCATTAACTTAAGGTCCTAAAAAAATCTAAGTTTTTTTATATCAAATATAAAAAAAAAGAATTTATATGTGAACACACAGAAGATGTGATGGATCTGCTTACTACATAAAAACTCTGCTTCTCAATTGAAAAGTTCAGTGGGGAGTGTTAACAGTGGTGAGAGTTCCTAAAAAGTGGTGTTCCTTGTGGCAGGCGTTGCAGGGCACAGCACTGGATAATCACTACAGTTGTCTTTGTATTTCCTTATTCTCCTGTGCTGTGTATTGACCCCGGGCCTTGAACCATGCCAGGGGGCGCTATACCACAGACTCCTTTCCTGACCCATTCGGGCAGCACTGCTGTCAACCATTTCTCAGAGTCCTGCCACTGTCCCACAAGGCACCTCTGAAATTACAGCAGAGGTCTCTGCTTATTAGAGGAAAAGGCAAAATTGGTCTCTTATGGTGGCACAATTACTTAAGGTGCCGACGCCAAATGAAATTATTTAAAACAGTTATTCAAGGGGAGACATGCACACACCTGTATACAGTCACACACGATTAAAAATGAAATAAATATTTTAAAAACAGGACTGAAGTGATGGCTCAGACTGGAGAGTGCCTGTTGTGCAACCCTGAGAACCTGAGTCTGGACCCCCCAGCATCTGTGTAAAAACACAGGGCAGGTCCCCAGAGCTAACTGGCCAGTCAGTCTAGCCAGTCACTGAGCTCCAGGTCCAATGAGACACCTTGAGTCAAAAAATAAGGGATCTAGACAGTTTGGTGGTGTACACCTTTAATCCAGCACTCGGGAGGCAGAGACAGATGGATCTCTGTGAAATTGAAGCCAGCCTGGGCTACATAGTGAGATCCAGTCTCAAAAAATAATACTAATAATAAAGGTGGAGAGCAATTGCAGAAGACACCTGTCTTAGGGTTTCTACTGCTGTAGAGATACCATGTCCACAGCAACTCTTATAAAGAAAACATTTCATTGGAGTGACTTACAGAGGTTTAGTCCATTATTATCATGGTATGGCATAACAGCCTGCAGGCCCACATGGTACTGGAGAAGGAGCTGAGAGTTCTACATCTTGACCTGCGGGCAACAGGAAGTGATCTAAGACACTGGATGGTGGCTTGAGTATATATGAAACCTCAAAGCCCACCCCCCACAGTGACACACTTCTTCCAACAAGGCCACACCTACTCCAACAAAGCCACCTCCTAATAGTGCCATTCTTTATGAGTTTATGGGGTCAATTACATTCAAACTACCATAGCACCCCATGTCAAACTCTAGTGCATGCACACACACACAAACATACTCAAAGAAAAAATAATAAATGAAAACATCACAACATACCCTTTTCTGTTATGGCATTGCAACTTACAACCCCACCACTAAAAAGGCAGGAGCAAGAGAATCAGGAGTCATAGTCACCGTCATCTGCATATGGCGTTCAAGGACAGCCTTGGCTACGTGAGACCTAGTCTTAAACAAACAGAGACACCAAAACCAGTCTCCCATGAGGTTCTGAGCTGGTTGGACGTTTTTAAACTAGAAATGAAGTGAATGGTGTAAGTTCTCATGTAATGTGACATTTCAGCCTGTGTGTGTGTGTGTGTGTGTGTGTGTGTGTGTGTGTGTGTGTGTGTGTGTGTGTTCCATGGTGCACATGTGGAGGTCAGAAGACAACTTAGGGAAACTTGTTCTCTCCTTCCACCCACCATGTGGGTCACATGACTTGGACTCAAGTTGACAGCCATGGTGGACACATCTTTCCCTACTGAGCCATCTCACTGACTCTGTTAATTTCTAATTTAGAATAAAATAATCTTTTTAACCTTTTCACCCCATTGTACCTTTGTAGCTTTCCCCTCGTCCTTAAGAGTTAAGCTTTAGGGGCTCAGTGATGCTTGTTAGGACTTGAACTGGACTAGAATGTGGTGACATGGAGGTTGAGAAGACCTGTGCTCCATTTGCTTGACAGAGACATAAGGATTGTGTCCTGTGCCTACGAAGTCCTCTGAAATTTGAATGTGGTGAAAGTGTTTTTGTTAGTAATCTGTCAAGCCAACCTCTCAAGATCTTACTGGCTCCCAAGTTTGTCCTTTCATTCAGATATTAATTTCTTCTTTTGTCTTTACAGGTAGCTGAGACCTATTTCCAGGAAGAGGACTGTATCCTTTTCTTAACTCCAGGCAGAAATTCATAGAACACTTGAAGAACCCATCTGTTTTTTTGTTTTTTTAAAGTTAAGGTCTGTGCGACAAGATGTGCAAACCATATGGCTTTGGTGGGGCTTGGCAGTTGTGTGTGCCCTTGTAACTTCCTCAAAGAGCAAAATGTGGGAAATAGGTCACTCCAGAAAACCCCTAGAGCTACCTAAATTTGGCTTTCACTAAGGAGGCCTAATTTTGCCAACATTGAACATTTATGTTCAAGAGAATGGGGAAAACACATGCTGCCGAGAAGGGAAACTTTAAAAGTCTGTTCGATCCTCTTGCTTTTAAGCACACGAGTCAAGCATGCATTAATGGAGCATGCCACACAACAACGCTGTAACTCCGCTGACCGATGAGCAGCTGTGATCCCAAACTGCTCAGCAACAGGGCTATGTCCAGAGAACGGCATCATCCGGTTCCTTTGTTGTGTGGGAGCACCATGGCAAGATGCTGCTGCATCACTGGGTGATTGGAATTTACCTTTTAACAGCTCCTCACTGACAGAAATGTCTCACGACACACGCCTGTATGTAGGTCCTCAATAGCAACCAACTAAATACTGTTTTCAAGGAGATCCCATGTGAGCTTTGGAATAGGGAACATTCAATCTTGGGCAGAGGGAGCAGAGTTGTTCTGCTTCTCCTGGTCCCAAGGATCCTTAAGGGGACAGAGAGGTAGAGCTGAACCTCTTGCGTTTGTGGGAAGGACACAAAGCTAAACCTTCCGATCCTTTCTTCCTTTTTTCTGGGTCAGTATTTAGAACATTGCCCAGAGGAAACTGGGCATTTGATCAGTGTTTCTCAACCTGCTAAGATGCAAGTTTGTGTGGTACAGATGGAAATTCAAAAGGTCATAAGAAGATCAACCAAAAAAAAAAAAAAAAAGGAATTCTGTGATAATTAGGAAAGTCACTGGGGTGAATTAATTTTTTCTAAAAGTCCCATGCCATGTTTCCATTATTTAGCGTTTCGTACTTTGGAGAAAAATGTCCAATGAAAAGTAAGTAAAGGATCGTGAAACCACAAAGAGACACTTTCCCGAAGGATGTCAGAGTCATGGAGTCAATTAAGGAGAGAAATTAAGGAAAACACAGACTCTAGGATCCCCTGTGGTCCTCTTTCCAGTTAGATGGCTTCAATGACGGCTGCCAGCGCATTGCCGGGCAGTCCCTGAGTAAAACCTTTTGTGTCTCTTTGCTTGTGGAACCCAAGTACGCTGCACCATGTGTTAGGATAAAACGTACTTACTCCAAAGCCAGGAAACCTCACGTCCGACGTGCTTAAATTTAAAAATATTTTGAACCTTCCCGTTTTTTGTCAGAGGTGCACATTTCTTGTCTTCTATAGGACATTCCATTGCAAATGTGGGGTTTCGTGTAGGCAGTATCGATGTCTTTTCCTCAACTATTCTATTCAGATGAGAAAGCTATGAAATTCATTCAGCTTGAACGATTGTATCATGAGCAACTGCTTGCAAATCTTTCTGCCATTCAGGAACAGTGGGGTAAGTACAGACTGACTGGAGCTCGGAATTAGCAGTGTAATGTAACAACTCACTATCTAGAAAGTGCGCACGCTGTCCTGATTTTGCATGTTAAGAGAATAGAAGTTACACAGTCAAGGTACTTACAATGCACAGGCCCAGGATGCAGCTTAGTGTCTGAGAGCCTGCCTAGCAAATGCAGGGCCGAGAATCCCCCCAGCACCATGAGAGAGACAGAAGGCAGATGGTATTTTCTTTGTATCTTGTTCTCCATAGCTCTGTTTTCATTTCTTCTGCATGTGCTCCTGGCTAATTTTGTTTGTAGAATGGTGTTTACATGTACTGTGAAGCAATCATTTAGCTCTTTCTGTGTTAACTTTTTGGGTTGTTTGAGAAGATAGGTGTATATTAATTATTCCAGTGGCGTCTAAATACATTTTGTAAGAGCCAGTGATTAACAAATGTTTTAAATTTAGAAACAAAATGGAAAGCTGTCCAGCCACATACACTGACGCCTCTGAGGAATTCAGAAAAGGGATTTAATGGTGAAGATTTCGAACAGCTTGCTAAAATTTGCACAACTCATCAAGAGTAAGTATGTCATAATTTATTTAAAGTAACTTGGAGAATATTGAAGATATACATTATACTGAGTATTGAAATGTATGATCCATTTCTTTGTTTTCTTCCTAAGAAATGGAACTGAGTATAATGGAATGCAAAGGGTTCTTTCTCAGCTTTTTTTTCTGTTTCCTGCCGACCTCGCTAGGTTTCCATGGGCTCGGAGGAGCCTTCTAACTAGACTCGCTGATAATGCTGATACTTTTTGACTAAGAGATCAGCAAGCCAAATTATCTGAGTTGCACATTAGGACTTTTTATTGCTTGTTTCTTAATCCTTATTTTATTAAATATCTATTTCTGTATGTTGATTATTGTTTAGGCTATTTCTGGTGTTTGTATGTAATAAGAAAAGTTGTAACCCTTGTCAAAGGTACAGGTTAAAAAGCACAGTGTCCAATATTTAACCTAAATATAGAAAAAACTTCATTACCAGATACTTTCCAGTTGCCTGATTCATGTCAAGGAGATAGATTTTTAAAACTAAGTCATCCCTTTTTCGGCTCAGGCCTTCTCCCCTCCCTTTCTGACCCACATTCATCTCTCAAATCCCCCTCCCCATTCTCTTCTCCAAGACAAGTTTTTAAATTTTGATGAACTCTTTAAAAAATTATCCTAATAATAAAGCTTGTTATTTTTTGTTCTACTTTTCTTTGTTCTGAAATCCTCATTGGACCACTCAGAGCTCTGAAGGGGAAGGGATTGCGACAGTGTTTAAATAGTGCCCATCTCCAGGCTTCAGCCCTGAGTACCCTGCACAAAGGATAAAGGACTCTCTGTTCTTTTGGTAACTTTGTCTCCTCTTCGGAATAATGGGGAGTAAACTAAAGCTCTGTGTGTTGATAATGAAACAGTCCCAGTAATTGCAGAAGAGAGGGCCTTTGCTTGGGGCTGGCCATCCTGGAGACGAGCTTTGGAAAGTGATAGAGGCTGAGATAGATGTGTCCGTCCAGCTCTAGGAAGATGGGTTCCCTGTGCTTGCAGTTTGAGCCTGTGCAACAGGCCCTTCAGGGATTCTGAACTGTAACTCCTTTTCTTACGAAGTTCCTACATTAGCTTTCTGTTTTGTATTTACATTTTTATAGCATTTAAAAGAGTAGGAGCCTTCAAAGATAATTTATTTACTTTCAGCATACTCAATGCAGATACCTCCCACTGCCTTCCTGAAGGAACTCACAACTTGTTAGTGTGTCATAAGCTTTTGAATTATTTACTTGAACGTACTATGAGCGTGGTATCTTTAGATCATTGTACGAGGTTATGTCTCGTTATTTATAGTTCAGGGTATGAGCCTTGGAAATTTTCCCCTATCATAGTCTATGACTAGCACTCCTAACAGGATCCATGACACAAACATTCTATCCTCTCAGAAGGCCCCTTCCTTGAAGTACCAAGTCCACGTTTCCCTTTTCCTTCCCCTATGATGGTAACTGAGCTCTGAAACTGTGGGTTTACATGCCTCTAACTTCATACAAATGGATCATGCAGAAAACAGTTATTATTTCTAGATCCTTCGGCCTTTCATTGTTTCTGGGTTATATTTTATCACATACAGTGTCAGTTTTGCTGTGTTTCTGTTGTACCTATTTATTGTATGACCGTATGGTAGTTTACATGCCCATTTCATTCATTTGTAGACATTTGAGCTGTTTCTTGATTCCAAGTATTACGGTAGTAATACAGTTGGGATTTCTTTCATCCGTACCTTTATTGGCATACTGTTAGCATGATATTCTTTAAAATCAAACACTTGAAAGTTACTTGTCTATCCATGGGTAATTCCAACATAATTATCTTCTGCCATAATCTGTTTTAAACTGAAATGGTGAACATTTGTGGATGCAAGAAGCATGTGTGATGTGTTTGGGGGCTCTCAGTGGTAACTTGCTGTCTGAGGAAGCACACACACGCTGGAGCTGTCCCTTCAGCCATGGGAGCTGGTGGCAGTGTTTCAGCCCTGGGAATCAATGTCCTGCGCTAATATTAGAATACAGAGAGGCTCTATTTTTTTTATAGTCGTTTCAGTGACATTTGTTTGGAAGCATGCTGTACTTTTAAAACTATGTTTTTCTTCTTTTCTACAGCCCTCTCTTGTCCAAGCATAAGGTAAGAGGTGTTCTTCTGAAAGCATTCGCGGGGAGCATGTCAGCAGCTTACGCCCGAGGCCGGACTGTCCTAGAAAGCCTTTTCTCAGCACACTTACAATTTTCTAATTGAATGCAACAGTTTCTCCAAAAAGCTGTGATTAATGTTTTCCTTTTTGAAAACTTTTTAGATAGCACCCGTGGAAAAGTCAGTGGGAAGAAAATGCTTTTCAAGGGTGACAGTATCTGAAGAGCCAAAGGAAAGAGGAGCATCACCCAAAGAACCAGGTCCGTTGCAGATTATTCTGTAGAGGAAGAGACAGGAGGCCTGTTACCTGTGGTATTTTAAAGTATTAGATCTGAACTATTGTGTTAGATTTTTTTTCCCATTTAGATTTTTGTATATATACACTTATAAAAAAATATAAAACCCACATTTTTATATGTATTTCCATTTTTAGATAACTAGAACAATAGACTATAAATTATTTTAAAAGGCAAAATAACTTCTGTGTCATCAGTAAGGAAAACAGAATATAAAAAGATGATACAAAAATTCTGAAATACTTTGGTATGTTAAGACATCCTTTCTTGGTTAAAAAGGAAAAAGAACAATCATTACTAAATGTACTAACCAGGTACCGACTTTTTCTGTAAATCTAGATAATGAGAAGTTCTGTCTGGATAATTTATAGCACTAACATATACTATATGTGAGTGTGTTTTGTGTATGTTTGTTGTGTGTGGTGAGTGTGTGTGTGAGTGTGTGGTGTATGTGTCTTGTGTGTGTTTCTTATCCATTTAAGATGTGTTTTATACCACTTTGTGTCTCAGCCAAAAGACTTGGGAAACTTTCAAAATGCATTTACAAAGTTTTAGGAATAAGTGTGTTTTCAGAGTATTTTTTGTATGATCCATTTATAGCACGTGCCTTATGCTCCTGGGCCTGGGAGCCCTGATTTAAAAAGAGACAGGAGTTTTGAATGAGCGTCCCTGATAATACAGACACGCTGTTGCCATCCTCTGTAAAAGTACTCAGCAAGTCGTTTTGAGATCTTCATTCCCTTCTCTCTATGACACAAATTAGGGACATTGCTTTGTGTCAATCCCACATGCTGTGTTCTTTGTGTTTCTTTTCTAGTCACTTCTATATCAGAAACAGGATAAAATAAGTTTTGTTACAGCTTAATAGACATGGTGGTGTACACCAGTAATCCCAGAACTAAGAGGAGCAGGCAGGAAGGGCAGGAGTTCAAAGTGGTTACCTGGTGCCTTCCAGCTTGGCCTAGGTTGTGTAAGGTCCTGCACACACAGCTTAGCACTGGCTTTGTTTCTGCCTCTGGCTTGACTTCTGTTGCAGTCTGTGTGGTACAGATGGGGAAACTGAGGCACCATGTGTACAGCCATTTGTTTGGTGCCCTCCCTGATCCTTAGGTAGAACCTGCATCTTCTGACTTCTAAGTGAATAACTCATGCTGTAGCTGAGTAAACTGTTATTACCAAGTAAACTGGGATTATCACTGGCTTCAACAATCCAAACATGTGCTAATATCCATCATAG